TAGCGATACCAGACTTCAAACTATACTACAGAGCAATAGTAACAAAAACAGCATGGTACTGGTACCAAAACAGGCGGGTGGACCAATGGTACAGAATAGAGGACACAGAAACCAATCCACAAAACTACAACTATCTTATATTTGATAAAGGGTCTAAAAGCATGCAATGGAGGAAGGATAGCATCTTCAACAAATGGTGCTGGGAAAACTGGAAATCCATATGCAACAAAATGAAACTGAATCCCTTTCTCTCGCCATGCACAAAAGTGAATTCAAAATGGATCAAGGAGCTTGATATCAAATCAGAGACACGCCGTCTGATAGAAGAAAAAGTTGGCTACGATCTACATACTGTGGGGTCGGGCTCCAAATTCCTCAATAGAACACCCATAGCACAAAAGTTAATAACTAGAATCAACAAATGGGACTTACTCAAACTAAAAAGTTTTTTCTCAGCAAAAGAAACAATAAGAGAGGTAAATAGAGAGCCTACATCCTGGGAACAAATCTTTACTCCTCACACTTCAGATAGAGCCCTAATATCCAGAGTATACAAAGAACTCAAAAAATTAGACAATAAGAGAACAAACAACCCAATCAACAAATGGGCCAAGGACCTGAACAGACACTTCTCAGAGGAGGACATACAATCGATCAACAAGTACATGAAAAAATGCTCACCATCTCTAGCAGTCAGAGAAATGCAAATCAAAACCACCCTAAGATACCATCTCACTCCAGTAAGATTGGCAGCCATTATGAAGTCAAACAACAACAAGTGCTGGCGAGGATGTGGGGAAAAGGGTACACTTGTACATTGCTGGTGGGACTGCAGATTGGTGCAGCCAATTTGGAAAGCAGTATGGAGATTTCTTGGAAAGCTGGGAATGGAGCCACCATTTGACCCAGCTATTCCCCTTCTTGGTCTATTCCCTAAAGACCTAAAAAGAGCATGCTACAGGGACACTGCTACCTCGATGTTCATAGCAGCTCAATTCACAATAGCAAGACTGTGGAACCAACCCAGATTCACTTCAATAGACGAATGGATAAAAAAATGTGGCATTTATACACAATGGAGTATTACTCTGCATTAAAAAATGACAAAATCATAGAATTTGCAGGGAAATGGATGGCACTAGAGCAGATTATGCTAAGTGAAGCTAGCCAATCCCTAAAAAACAAATGCCAAATGTCTTCTTTGATATAAGGAGAGTAACTAAGAACAGAGTAGGGACGAAGAGCATGAGAAGAAGATTAACATTAAACAGAGATGAGAGGTGGGAGGGAAAGGGAGAGAAAAGTGAAATTGCATGGAAATGGAAGGAGACCCTCAGGGTTATACAAAAGAACATACAAGAGGAAATGAGGGGAAAGGGAAAAATAATACAAGTGAGAGAAATGAAGGTCAGTAGAGGGGGTAGAGAGAGAAGAGGGGAGGGGAGGGGAGGGGAGGGGGGATAGTAGAGGATAGGAAAGGTAGCAGAACACGACAGTCACTAGTATGGCAATATGTAAATCAATGGATGTATAATTGATGTGATTCTGCAATCTGTATATGGGCTAAAAATGGGAGTTCATAACCCACTTGAAGCAAAGTGTGAAAGATGATATATCAAGAACTATGTAATGTTTTGAACAACCAACAATAAAAAAAAAAAATCCCAAATAAAATTTCTATTTAATCAACTATATTATTTCCAAATCTTTAATAGCTAGTTGTAACCAAAATGACCTAAAACAGATATATGTGATAGATATAGATATATTTATATGTCTGTTGTTTGTTATTTAGAGATTTCATTCTAAATTATTCTTGAGTTCAACCTAAAGTGTATCAGTTATTTATAGTAAACTGTAATTGCAAAAGCAATGAAAGCAACAACTGTTTTTATGTTTCTAAGACATTTTTTAAGTGCCCCAGTCTCAGATCTATTCAATAGGAAAAAAAATCATATTGTTTAAAAAATTAGCAACAAAGACAGAAAGTCTCAGGTATGATTAGTAGTTTACATGAACAGTTTGAAAATAACTTTAGTAATTCATGTACCATTCCAATAGCAGCCCATTACAATTTCTTGTGTAAAAGTGAGAAATGTTGATCTAAAAGTTAATTAGCAGTTAAAATGTTATCATTCATGTTAGGTATAAAGAAATATTAACCATTCCTTAAGCTCAGTATCCATTTTGTGGTGGTTGTTACTTACAACTGGTTATAATTGGTAGCAAAATGCCAAAAAGAAAAGAAAAAATAATTTGCTAAAACACAAAAGCTAGGAAAAATTAAAACATCTATAATCATTGTTCTTCAGTAATTTTCTTTTGGTATATTGTTACATATAGTGAGATGGTATAGTATCTTCAGCTGTATAACTTCTTAGATGAAACAGGTATCAAGCAGGTCTCAAAAATCCATTTGCCTTTCTCATCAGATTGACACTCACATTTTACAATTGACTATTATATATGTACATGTATGTATGTATACACAAATACACATACATGATGATGAGCTCTAGGTCATGTTCTTTGAAATAATGTGTTAAAACTATAAAATAGACATTGTTTTTTCAAGTTTATGAATGACAAAACTGAGGCTCAGAAAGGTCAATATTCTTGCACAAACTTATGAAGCAGTAAATAGTTCTGCCAGTAAATATCAAAAATTAAATTAAAAACAAGATCTTAATACAGAGCTTTTAAAACTTCATTAAACTCAAATAAAGTTTGTAGTAGTTTCCTTTTAAATTAATCTATTCTAAACTTTGAAGCTAGCAGTAATGTAGAAATAAGATTAACATTTAGCTGGATTCATTTATCCATCCATATTTTCATCCTTGCTACTATATACTCAAAATCACATTCCTGGAAATAAATAAAGAACTGTAGAAAAAATGAAGACCGGATTCAAGTCCTAAAGTTTCAAAGTAAGAGATTAATATGAGCAAAATGAATTCATTTATTGGGTGAAATTCCAGAAGAGTACACTTTTCTCTTAAAAATTCTCTCCACAAAGACCTTCTAAAGATGGCAGTAGTGACAAGGATAAGGAGAAAGACATGAATCTAAGAGATTAGAAAATCAAAGTAAGTGATGGATCAGTGACAGGGTGCATGAGGACACAATGATAAGACATCTGCCAAAGAGAATTACATGAACAGTCAGGAAACAAAAGATAGTATTATATAACACCTGACCATTTATATGTCCATTTATATTCATGCACATTTTTCATCTTTATAATATATATATGATGATGCTTCAAAGAAAAATTAAACCTTTAAAATAGAGGCTTTTTGTAATACTGAGAGGATTATACGGTCTTTTAGAAACTGTTAGTCAAATTAGTTCATGAACCAGTGACATCATCCCTCAATGACATTGAAAACATGCAGAATCCTTTGGTCTGTTAATCACAAGATCCATCATATCAGAATCAACATTTCACAAATTCTCAGGTGATCTATATACATTATGGCTTTCCAGGCCTTGCTCTAAGAAGTAAAGTACAGTTAATCTTCATTTTATCTAAATTGGTAAGAGTTCTAAAGAAGGAACAGAGAATTGGCAGGAGGTAAAAGGAGAAAGAGCTCATACATCTTTTATTTCCTTAGTGCTCTTCTCACTGAACAGACTAGAGATCTACAATAAAGGGGTAGAGCATTATTGTTTCTCTAATTTCAATTTTACTTTTAAAATTAGTACATTTTAGGCATTTAGTATAGTTTAAGCTTTCACTATTACCTAACTCGAGTAGATATTTATAATGAAAACTACTTAAATAAGATAATTACTAAAGTCATCATATTGGAAACCTCAAAACAATGTCTTGGGGAAAGCACATGAAGAATCATTCCAGAGATAGCATAGCCCAAGGAAAACAATAAAGAACAAGCAATTGGGAATTCTATATGTAGCTCTATAGAACTGATAGATCTGGTAATACATTGCCTAGGAAATAGAAATACTTCAAAATATATGTTCTAGTTCTTGTTAATTGTATTGTTTTTTTTTCATGGTTCAGTTGTACTTCTGAAACTTCCCTATTTCATCAATCTATCAGAGATTACCCCAAAATCTTATTTGCAGAAATTTTCAAGATCTATAATAATGTATTTATCTATGTATTTGTTTAAGCTCCATAGTGTAACATTAGGTTTGTTGTTCTTGTCTCTTGAGTAAACCAGTAAATATTAATCAATCATATTGAACAATTAAATAAATAAATATTGGCAGAGGAAATGAATAAGATAATGTACTAATACAAATGTTCATTTTGCTAGTATCTATTGATACAAAAATTTAAATGAGTATATTTGACTTTCAGGGTTTAACTAAATTATGTGTATTTTATTCATAAATCCTTTTAGTATTGCACTGTTTAAAATATTCTTTCCTGTTTTTCTACACATTCCCGAGTTTCTGTCTTAATCTTGGTTGTAACTATGATCTCCATAACCACTAAAAATATGTAGCATTTGGTGAGAATTGTTTTTAAGTTTGAAGCAGATATATACCACATTTATAAAGCACAAAACAAAATAATTGTGTTTCTGTATAGGAATTCTAGAGTCTTCTATCAAATAAATTTTTTCACAGCAGTGGTCTCATATAGAGAAATTCATTACATTCACCACTAGGTGGTGTGGTAGCCCATATGGAAAGCAAATCCTGAGTATCAAATTTCTACCCTAATTCCAACTCTCAAATTTGTAAATACTTCCTTACATCCTTAATAATTGCTATAGGGCTCTTGTATGTAAGCTTAAAGATATTGAAAAATGTAAATCAAAGCTCTGTAGAGTTCTTAGGGAAGCAATGCCCTGAAGAAGATGAAATTTAAAAAATAAATCCCCTCCCACATGGGGAAATATTTCATTACTAACTTAAGTCTATTAAGAGACAGTTTCTTATATACAAAATTTAATTCTATTAAAATGTAAAGCTCCACTTTTGAGAATTGGGTTAAATATTAAAAAGCATTATGAAATTAGAAATACCTGCTGTAGAGTATTCCAACGGCCATACTGAAGAATTTCTAATGTGCTCAGAGGAGGCATCGTACTAGCTAGGCATTTCAAAGGTCTCTTTCTTTTAACAATTTTTTTCTGCTGATTTTGACTGAAAATTTCAAACCAAGGTTTAAATGATTTTAGCCAAGCTAGTCTCTTCTCCTCAATAGAAGATAAAAGTGTTGACTCTAGTTTAGAGGTTATGATCCTTTCACATTCAGCCCTGTTTTCATGGCACTCCTCTGGAATTTCATTAATCTCAGATATAAGAGAGTTTTCTTTGTTAGCAATCCAGGAGCTTTTTGTATTACAGCCACTAAAATCTTCATGAAGAGCAAGTCTATCCAAAAAGTAATCTTGCTTATTTATTTTGCCTTCTCTATTTACCATGGCATCAGTGGTGTTAAAGAACATAATGTCACTATTTAGAGTATTGTCTTTTGAGTTTTCTTCAGCTTCTTTGGATTTTAAGTTAATTTCTTTTTCTTGTAGTATTGGATATTCCTCCATAGTTTCAGCATTTTCTAATTTTAATGGTAGTAGTTTTTGCTTTATTGAAATAATGGAAGTATTCTCTTCATATAATCCATTCCCTTGTGATATCTCTTCTTTTTCTACTTTTTGTATCATTTTCTGTTCATTAAATTCTATTATTTTCTGTGCTTCATTGTTCTTCACATCATTCATTTCTTCATTACATTCTAATATTATTATTTGGACTTTCCCCCCCCCATTTTCCTTTATGGCATATTCCACCTGTTCCTGGTTTTGTGTTTGTGTCTTTAATTCTTGCTGAAACTGTTCAATCATATTTTCTTTTAGATCTAAGATTTCTAATTCAGTTCTTTTGTACATATCTTCATATTTTATTTCTTGCTTAATCATTTTTTCAGAACACTGTTTTTTTGCTAGGCTTTCATTTGTTTCTTCTATTTTTAATTCTGCCAAAATGGCTTGGTTTGATTTCAATTGTTCTTGTATTGGTTCTTTCAAGACAAACTGACTACCTATATTTTCACTCTTATTCAATTTCTTAACTACCCAAAGAGGAACATTTTCCTGCTTCTTTGAATTTTCATACACTAATTCTTTGGCTATCTCACTCTTATTCTTTGACTTATCTTCAATAGTTAAATGTTTGGCATTATGTTCTCCCTTCTTCAATGTGGTATTTATTATAAGCTGTTGGCTTGCAGCTTCTATTAATTTAAATTTTTCCTTGTTTTGTAGTTCTTCTCTTTCTCGTCTCAGGATGTTCTTTTTTTCTTCATATACTTTTTCTCTCCTTTTTCTTTCCTCTTGCTTCTGTTTTTTTATCTCTTCTTCTATCCTTTGTTCTTCCTCTAATTTTTTCCTATTTTCTTTCTCTTTCTGTTGTATATTTGCTTCCTTTTCTTTCAACTCTTTTGCTTTCCTTTGTTTTCGTTCTATTCGGTCTCTAATTATGGGGCTATATTTTTGGTAGATTATGAATGCCTTATATTTAGCTTGAATTTTTACAGCTGCATTATGCTGCAGTTCTAACAAACGCATCTTTTCTTTTTCTTGTAGATCCTTGAACCTTGTTCTTTCCTCTTCCATTTGTACATGCAAATTTCTCATAAATTCCTAAAATAAAGTAGGATAGTAATAACATGAAAAAAATGTAATTTTATTCAAATATTTAAAATTGTAGATTAAAAATAAATATAAAAACTGAAATCATAATGAAATTGCGATAACATTCACTTAAAGCGATTAAAGTAATTTATTTTAAATGGTATTAATTTTTAAATATTTAAAAGACTGTCACATGGGTAAGTTGGTACTCTAAAATTATGAGAATAATAAACCATCTAATTTATAAAGATACTAAGCCACCTGGGTATAAATTGAGGGATTCTTTGAGATAGAAAGCATATGAAATCAGAATGACACAGAAAAAGAAAGAAAGAAAGAAAGAAAGGAAGGAAGGAAGGAAGGAAGGAAGGAAGGAAGGAAGGAAGGAAGGAAGGAAGGAAGGAAGG